ATAAAATTGTTTTATTATTTCGGTTTCCAATTCATTTCAAACCTTTTTGAATTAATAGATAAAGCTCGAAATATGTAAAAATTTGAGCGAGTGCTGATAAGCCCATAGATATTGCTGTTCCTGAAGAGACTGCATTTCTACATGAAGAAATTTTTTCCCAAATTGCAAATTTTGCTACTTCGTAGAGACATTAGTTTTATTTCGGATACAGAAATACGAAAAATCAGTGATGCCTTCTCCGGATTCGAACTCGTAGCTAGCCGGACGGGCTTCCAGTTGCACCATGAAGATACGCCGTACAGAAGGAGAAAATTCCTTACATTTTCTCCCATTCACAGTATGACTAGAAAAGAGGGGACACAGTGACTAAATTCAGGTAGTGATGAGCTATCGTCCACCAAATATTAGTTCGGCTTGTACAGTCATTTTAGATTTTTTTGGATAAAGTCACATGAAAAATCAGTAATGTTGTCTCCGATATTCAAATTCCAGATATCTCGATTGTAGTAATCTGATGTGCTTTCAACTCCGAGAGAAAAGCATGAAGTACGGGAGAAACAAATTCCTTATAACATATTTTGCTTTTTTGAGGGCAAGTGAGGCTTATTAGAGTAGTAAGACGTTAGATGATAATTTCAATGCCAATTTTTACTAACTGCTAGAAGGAATGTTGCATTAATGACAGAAATTTTGGTTGCAATGAAGTATACTGGAGCTTATTTTACCTGAGATTATTCTGAAATTACAATGGTCATAAGGCAGTTACAAATTGCCTATTACTCATCATAACACATCGAAAGAGATACTGGTAACGGCAGCTCTGTGAAGTCTTTCAGCTCTAATATTGTGTTCTGAAAACTGAGGCACCTTTATAAGAAAACATTAATGCATATGAGATCGGTGAACTGGGGAAGAGAAGAGCTATACTCATAACGAGAAAATAATTTTTGTGGAAATATCTGATGCGAAAATCCACGCACACTCTGTCTATATGCTTATTGCCCCATTTTGGAACCAGCTGGGACCGTAAGTAATCCATATCCGTACATCATCAAGTACTGATGAAGAAAGAAGCCTTGTAGCATCCATAGAAAGTGTTCATTGGAAAAAATTACAAAAAATCAGAATCTATTAGTATAAACAAAAACGTTTTTAAAAGGAGCATTTTACATGCGAAAAGAGGGGGGGATTTGTTGTAGTTAAAAGAACAAAGCAGTGATCTGTTAAGAAGCCGGAACAAACTAAATACCAGTCATTTCATGCTGCTGATGATGATAAACTAAGATCTAGTATAAAATATACATTTATGAATTAATTTCTTTGACTTTAATGCTATTACGAATTAAATTCAAATAAGGACAACAAATTAATGTAAAAAATACTTTTTCACGAACCTTCGGCAAGAATAATTCCAGCATAGTAGAGGAGATATTGTTCAGGCTTCAGTTTATCAAACTGCTTGTCTGTCCATACACTTAACCATATACCGCTTACCACCTATGCAAATGAAATTAAATAAATAAATAAATAAATAAAATGTAGCAAAAATCAAAATACTTTCTCAATAATTATTTAAATATTTCTAATATATCTTACTTCGCAGCAGCAAGCTAGAAAAGCTGCCATAACAGCTAAAGTAGTTAATATGTAGCCAATTGTTTTTACGTAGTGTGCAACTTTTATAAACAGACCCTATGAAGAACACTAGTACTAGTTAATATAGCACTAACATTTCCATAATTGTTATTAACTTTTGACAGTCCCTTACCTTAGATGCAGTAACAGCTTCATTGCTTATTGAGCTTTCAATCCCGATTTCCGCAGGTATTCCAGCAGTCAAAAACCAAACGTCACACTGTCGATCAAAATATTTAATGGAACTATTAAGAGAAAATAAAAACTAAGAGTGGATGAGAAGAGAACATCAAAGTAAGCGAAATGTTGTCGAAAACATTTTACCAAGGAATATTGTAAATTATATTTAAATCCTTACGCTGAATCGTTTATCTCAGCTGCTAAGCATTCTGTGGATTTTCTCTTTTTTTCAGTGCTTCCTACTAAGTTAAGATACGCTTTTAAATATCCATTTTTCTCGGTTAATTGTGAATATGTTCCCTGTTCCACTATACATCCATCTTTCAAAAATATAATATGGTCTGCGAGAGGCAAAAAATCAGCGTCCGTAGTCGTAAGGATCCTTGTCTGCAAGGAAAGAAATATGCTATTTATTAATATTTGACGAATTAGTTGAAAACATAATAAACTTACATTAAAAATGAGATGGTCTGAACTTAAAACAGTGAACAACCACTTAGTATCAAAAACATAATTTGTAAGATCTCACTCTCTTTTGGTATCATATATATCACTAGATCTTACTAAAGAACCTGGCGACTTCTCGCACAGGCGTAAAAGGATACCAGCACAGAAGAAGAATGAAGTAACCCTTTGTTATTCTCCAAACTCTTAACACAAAAATGCATGCACTTTGTGCTTACAATAACACCGAGGACTTGCGGTGGAATTTAAGAATAGTTAGACAATAATTTCAAAGATAAAGAGTAGTACTTGAGTAACAATTTAATTTATGGCTAACTAAGGTTACTCAAAAACCTACCCCGCGATGTACTTATTAAATGGCCAAAAAGGTGTATCAGAAATTCCGCGTAACAGCAAGGACAAACTAGTTACGTACGCTGGCTCGTAAAATTACGCTCTGAATAAACTACAAGATTTGTCTGTTTAAGTACTCATTTCACTTAATTTTAAATTTGCATCCTGGTGAGGAAATACGGGGGCGGAATAAGAGGTTCAGGAAAGATACAAACTTCTAGTAATTTGTTACGTAAACTAAGGGAAACCCTACAAATTATGATGTTTTTAAATATCAGGTCATCTAAGATCATATGATAAACGTTGGGACGGGCTGTTACCCAGCTCTGAATTTCAAATGCGACTGATTATACCCGCATTCCAAATTTAAGATACGGATAAAGACGTGGCTTGCTATATCGTTTTATTTAAACCAAATAATTGATTACTTTATTGTCAGTCTTCATCGGTTGTGTTCAGAAATACTGAATACAGTTAATTGTTCTGCACAATCTTAATAGCTCATTCTAAACATTTAAAAAATGTGTTAAGAAATAATACAAAGGCATTTACTGTAGATGATTTCCAAAATTGATGAATATAGCTATGTAAAAATACTAGAATCATCAGAAAGCTTTGAGAATTTGTATTAAAATAAATGGATAACAAAGTAATTAACCTGCAACTGTAGGAGAAGATTTTTCAAAATCACTTTGAAAATGTGCAAAACTGCATTTAGCATCAAAGTGTTACAAAATTTATGTCACGAAAATACTCAATTAATTGTTTTTAAATTATGTGATATCTAAGCAGAGACAAAATGGTCTTTTTGCTAAACCGCAACTGATAATAAACCAACTTTGCTCATGGTACTGTTAAAACATTCTCATTAAAACATGAAGCATCAATTGCTTTATGTGAAAGATGTTTCATGTACAATATTTTCGAAACATTGAGAGCCACCTACATGTACATATCTTTTATGATACCTCTTAAATTAAAGACAAATGCAGATAAAATCGAATGTGTTGGTCATTCATGAATTCACACATATACACTCGTTAATACGAAATATTGTTTACCTGATACTTTAAAGAAAGTTAATACTAATGCGCAGTTACTGAACTTGAAAATTTCTAACCTTTTCTTTCAGAAGCCCACTCCTTCCGATAACTCTGTGATATAAGTACTCAGCCAAAGATGAATCCAAGGGCCCCAGTGGATCATCCAGGAGATAAATATCAGCATTTTGATACACTGCCCTGGCTAAATCAATTTTTAATCTTTGTTCCTTGGACAAAGCTACACCCTGTAAAGAGCACAAATATTCAATTTAACCGTTTAAATACGAGTATATTAAAAAAAAGTTTACTCCTTATTGCAAACTGTTTACTTTAGAATTTACCTTTTGACCGATTTCTGTTTCATCTCCAGCTGGTAAACTTTCAATATCATAGTTCAGAGAACACGCATCTATTGTCTTGCGATAGGCAGCTTCTACTTTCGGTCTCGTAAAGAGAATATTTTTTTCAAGTGTAGTACTTTGAATCCACGCATTTTCACCTACAAAAGCAATTCGTCCCTAAATTTAGAAAAATTAAATAAAATTATTTCTTTATATATTGCTAAATATGTTAGATATACAAGACTAAATTACGAAAAACAATTACGTTATTAAATATACAGAGTTAAAGCTGGTTCTCACAATCACATTTAAATGAGCACCAGATATGCTTACATATATATATACATACTAAAATCTATATATACAAGAATTGTAAGAAAAGCAAATTATACGTAAATGTTGTATGGAGCTGAAGAACAAATAGCGTAAAGATCACGTTATAAACTGATTCTTATTCTGCCTTTAAAATCAGTTTTCTTAATATGAAGTTACAGTTTCAGAGAGAGTTTTAATGCTAATTTCATTAGAGTAGCTAATAAGCTGAGGCTGAGTTATAAGTAAGGAAAGTTAAAGTAATATTATACTAAATTACTAAATGAGGTCAGCTGAAAACGCGAGTGGAAAGAACAAAAATTCAATATTCATCATTATTTTATTCGCGAAAGAGCTCTCTAGACGAGGATTTTGCCAAACCTATACAGACGAAAGGCTATTTAAAACTCTTTTACAAAAGTTGAAGGGTCAAAGTTCTGCAAAAATAAATAGATAAAAATAAAAATAAAAACAAAAATGTTAGAAATGACCTATAAAGTTAGTCGTCACAAATTTAGAAATTCTTATATTACATTATTTACCGTAATAAGTGCAAGAAAAATGAAATATTAGAAAGGAATCTTAAAATTAGACATTCACAAATTTATTTACTAATATTAATGCATGATAACATTATTTTAAATAATAATTTATTTTTTACAGTTAGGCTTAATGTTAAATTAATATGAAATTTTTTTGCCCTTACACTTGGTGAAGCGATGTGCTAAATTCTGATAAATATTATCCTGAAAAAAATGATGCCATAAAATACCTTAATTTCATTTTTACTGTTTTTATCTCTGAAACGTCTAATCACAGCAGTACCGAACCGCGGAATTAATCGAAAGATATTTTGAAGTATTGCGCTCGAAAGTTTTTCAGAAAGGCATTCGAAAGGTACATGAGTAAATATCTAAAGAAATACTTCTTTTATATTAATATGTTTCCAAGTCATGCCTTACGAAAGCCTTTCCCACGCCAGTCATTTTGTATCCATTAGCACAAATGCCACTAGCACAAATTCTGTGAGATACAGAAGTATCATGTTTCGTGCTTCAGAACTTAATTCATGGAATTCCTTCTTTCCCATGTTGTTGAATTTTTTCCAAAAAACAGACGACGCTGTTATAAATGAAGTTTTTCCATTATTTCAATTTTTCCATTAAATATCAGTCAAAAATAAAATTGCTGAAATATTGTGGCCGATTTTTCGCTTTGCTTACAATACTGGACGATTAAATGAAGAAAGAAAAGTTTATAAAGGCTGAAAAATGTCAAATACAGTCAATAGTTCTTAATTTCTGGTATTGTTTCTTGATTTAAATTTTTGTGTTAATGAAAAAATAGCAGCAACTTTTTAGTAAATCAATAGCTATCATGCATTATATTGTATTAACAAATTTATTGTTCAGTCAAGGAAATGTATTTTAATGAACATGTTCACCTTGACACACGCAGTTCCATCAAGCTTTTCCATCTCACCCAATAATGCTCGCAATAAAGAAGATTTACCGCTTTGCGTTTCGCCAATCACTGCTACCAGAGATCCTTCCAAAACATCGAGATTGAGATTCTTCAGGCAGGGCATCTCCACGCCATTCCAAGAGAATGAGGCATTTACCAACGTCACGCTGTTTCCTGGAATGGTTGCAGTTAATTAGCAGCTTCTTTTCGTTTCTCAACATAAAAAGAAGAAACTAAGTAGATTTTTTTCCCCTAACAGTGAAAGTTCCCTTTTCTCTAGTATTTATATCTAGTTGGTTGATTTTGCTTCATAATGTTACATTTTTTCATAGAATGCAAAAGTTTAATTAATTGTTATCCATAATATCAAAATCATTATCTTGCCATCATATAATATATATTCTACATTTAAATTTCAGCATGTAATTTATTCCAACATTATCCGAATAATTTAAGAAGTTTCAATATGTTTGTCTCTGTATGTCTCTGTTTAATAACACTTTGTGTCCGCATGTAAGAAACAATATAAAGTAACATTTATGAATTTCTGAAGTTCGACTTGATGAGCATCCTGCTAAAAATTGATGTTCATTATTTTAAGTGATTCTATTAAGTTAAAAGTTTCATTTTATAATCACGAAGAAAGTACACTTTTAATAGATCAAACCCGCTGCCATGTATTTTTATGAGTTTTATCATTAATAAACTCCTAAAAGAAAGCAATAGGTTACCTTGATTACTGATTATTGAGCTACATTACAAAAAAAAAAAAAAAAAAAAAAAAGATTTTAAATTAGAACCCAGTGTTTCATAGGGCAATGGAAATATTTCACGAATAGAAATAGCTGTGCAGTTTATTCATTTATCATTATGTTTTTTCAAAGATGCAATTCAAATGGGAAAATATTTTCATAAAGAGGCTATGTGAATAGTACAGTAAATAGTTATGAATAATGTTCATAGTATATTTTTGAAACTGTTTTTACAACTGTGATCCATTCTCTCTTGTACGTGAATATTAAAAAAGTTAGGTTATTATAAATACACAAATGTCGGTAAAAATTACGTCTGTTTATCTTACCTGTAGTGCCTTCCTCTGTAGGAAGACTAGTTAGTTCTGTCTTTCTAAGAAAATTCTGAAGTCGCGAAACTGACGATAAACCCTATGAAAAGAATATTATTATGGAATGGAGCTGCTGTATTAAAGGAATAATAAATATATATAACTCATAATTTCGAACCCATTGCAGAATTTTAGATTAATACATATTATACAAAGCTAATTAAAACAAAATTTACTTAAAATACTACTAAAAACTTACTTAAAATTCAAAACTCTGCAAGTTTTGATTTGAAACTGGTTTAACTGAAATGATTTTACTACAAGTTCAGAGAGAAAAAAATAACACAAATGCAATTACCTGACTGTATCGTAAGAAAAGTCGTTTACTATCGAATAAAAGCACTTGAAATTAATCCAGGAGGAATGTCATTAAAGGATAAATATTACTTTATAGATACAGTATTTACGTTTATATACTTTCTCTAAAGGAGAATGAAGGATTATCCTATACATTATTATAGAAATTTAACAGAAATTTGCATCATAGCATTATTTCGAAAAGTTATTTTAGATGTTTAAGAAACGGAGGATTTGCATGGCAACTACATTGGAAATTTGCTCACAGTTCATAACTCACAGTTCTGTTAAGGAAAGTATTTAGGCAAATCAATGTAATTTGTGTTGAATCGTAGTCGATGTAAAAGAAAAGGATTTTGCACAAAAAGTGGATGTGTCATACTTGTGTCACGAAACCGTTATTAGTAAGGATCTGGACCACCTTTGGCTTAAATTATAGCTTGTATCTTATCTTGGATAGGTAAAATGCAAGTCTTTCAAAAGTGTGCATGGTCATTCTTCGTGGGGAGCGGTACCATTCAAGTAATGTAACTAGCTGTACTATGCAGTTTGGTTTCTAAAATGCCCACAAACTTTGAGTCGCGTTTAGATTTGAGAATTGAGGACAGCAGATGAAATTTACAGTTCATTCTGGAACCTACAAATCATATTTAAACATACTCAGCAGTGATCATTAAAGTGGATTAAAGCAAACCACGAAATATTTTAAAAGTTATTGGATGAAAACGCCGTATCCTTCAAAACTTGTATATTGAATATTATATCATTCGTGAATTTTTCCTAAACTTTTCTACTACATCTTCATTCTCCGCAAGAATTTTGAAATTTTGCAATTTTGTACTTGTACAGTAAGACCACGAAATTTTCGAAATTTTAATCTCAGTATTATGTCTTTCAAGTGTTAAGTAATTCATAAGACATAATACTGATAATACTGAGATTTATCTACGTATTTACTTAGTTTTTGCATTTTGTTTATAATTATAATACCAAAAGAACATAAGAGAACATTTTTCTTCAAAATATCCATATTTTTTCCCAAACGTTATTTCTTTAATAGCTTTGAAGTAACCTATTAAACATATAGTTATCTTGTATTTCTGAGACAGCCGATGGTCCTGCCCAACGAGATAATATACTGGTAGAGAGCGTATTGCAACCTTCAACCGGTTCCAACATTAGTGTCACGTGACTGCTGCGCGAATTCCGAAAGTGCGGAAATACTTTACATTGCTTTCTATGGGACGAAAGACTGCTGCTCTGCTTGGTCACATAAAATTTAAGTAAAAATGGTTATTCGCTGCAGCGCCTACGGATGTAAAGAAAGTTTCGTGAAAGGAGGACTTGTAACCTTTCATAGGTAAGTTAAAACTGCCTAATTTATTATTTTATTTTCAATATTTTTGTCATTTTACTATCTCTGTTGAATTGGTTGGAAAGTTTCAGCCATATTGTATAAGAAAATTACCGCCGTATATGACATTTTCAGCATGTATTATTAGCATCAAAATGTGTTAAATACTGTGTTACTATTTACTGGAATCACCCTTTACAAATAATTGAATTTTATATGTTTTTTCCGTGTATTCCGTTGAAATAGAATGCTGCGCCAATTGGCGTTAACCTTTTTTCGCCAAGTCGTACGCGTTTTGATTTCATAAACAATTACTGCCTGCGATAAAAAAGAAAACGCTATTATTAGCATTAAATTATTGAGAAAAGATTGTGCGATATGTTTACTTTGTTAAAAAAAAAAAGCTAAAGATCTTGATTCATGCAACATTGAACATAAACAGTTAAACAGCATTATTTTAAAAATCAGATTACTTTTATAAAGCTCAATGCTTTATCATTATTTTCTATAAAATCAATTAAAATAAAAATAATCTGGATTATAATTCTGTCTCATCTACGATGCTGTTAGAAATTTATTGTAATTGAAAAAATGCGATGTGAAAAACTTACCATATTTTAAATAGTATTTAAAAAAAAAAAGGAGAGTGAGAGAATTTTTAACTGTAATATCGTTTTGATCCTAATAATAATACTGAGTTGAAGTTTGTTTACCGTTTGATACATATTCAATATAAAATAATTTTTATAGTTAATAAGATGTATTGATCCCCCATGACATACACATGAGTGTGGAAATCAGTAATTAAGATTGCATTATTTGTTCCAGTAATATAATCTCAAGAAAAGAAAGGCAATCAATGGCATAAATACATATAATACAATGTGATTTTCTTTTTCTCTTTAGGATGCAATGCATTAAAATTAAACGAGATTTTTTTTTTACCTTCTCAAATATTATAACAGTAGTGCAATTAATTTTTTAACGTTATTCAAAATTAAAGTTTCCATCTCAATTTTTTTATTATTTATTTTAGATTTTCTTCCTAAAATTATTTAACCTAAACATCTTAAACAATGGTGAAAATAATTTAAAGCAATTGTTAAAAATATAGATAAAATATTCAGGAAAAAAGGGGTTCAGTTATATCTAAATATAATTGTAAAAAATCGAACAACCTAATTCGAGGCCGTTGTCTGCTGACAGCTAGCAGACGGAAACAAAATGTACTATCTGCCATATCAAAAGCGGGCCAAACTGGCGATGAACAGCCTAAGCTATCACTCCCCAAGAGCGCCACGAGCATTTGTCACGTGGTATATGTTGGAGACACCCTAGCAGACGAATTCTCTGTGGGTGAGCCGTCTACCTGTTATATGAAGTCGTTGGTCCTGCCAGTGTCTGAGGGAAGTCACGAAGCTAGAGAATTTAAGTAATATTTTTATCAGTACAGAGAACTTCTTACTGCGTTTCTGTTGAAAACTGACCGAATTTAGTAGTTCATTACTAACCTAGGAGCCTTTAACTATTTTTTATTTGAAAAAAACACACTCAGAAATTATCATCAAGATTTTCTATTCAAATATACTTTTCATGCCATTACCTTTCCAATGAAATTTGATTCCTTGCCAGATAGTTAAATGTTTGTTAGTTTTTTTCGCATACGAATGCATTTCATACGAATGCAAATGAATACTGAATACATACTGAAATATTTTACTATCATATAAAAAATTAATGCAAAAATTACAAATTTCAAAGCTCTTTCGGGAAATAAGGAAGAAGCAGAAAAATTTTGAAAAAATTCATATGTGATATATTAACTCATACGTAATATTTGATGAATAGTTTTTTTCATCCGACAATTTTCGAAAATTTCTCGGTTTTATATACCATTACAAAATTGCAAAATTTCAAGGATTCTGTGCGGAAGGAAGATGAAACAGAACAACGTTGAAAAAATTCACGAGTGGTATATTAGTCAGTACTGTTGATGGGTAGAGCGCTGCAATTCTATAACTTTTATCCCCCCCTTCCTCCGTCTTTGTGCGCTTTGTGGCGTTGTTTTCACGGCACACACAGGTGATTTGCCAGGAAGCATAATAGAAAATAAATAACATGATATAAAGGAAACATAATATAAAATCACAAAATGCAGAACGATACCCAAAAGGCTGCAATATTGCTCTTTTTTAATGTTGCAACACAAGTGGTACCAAAACACGCCAACATATCACGCCCCACTCCAACACAGACCCCCTCCATTTTTAATGGTTATGAACCATGCAATGAAAAAAATCTTTCTGTGGGTGTTCTCTAGGAACCAGACGCCCAATGGTCTAAAACGCGCCGTGCCACAGTTTTGCAAGAAGGAGTTTCAACAGTGGCACACGAAGACTTACTGAAAAATTAAAAAATTTGAAAAATATAGTCTGTATCAACTCCGTATACCTGTAAAATGCACAAAGTAACTTATGTATGTATGTATAGAATTGGATTGGATTATAGAAATGGACTGTAATTTACAGTAAAATCTGTGTAAAATGTTTAACTTTTAGTGTGAAATGTTTATGTACGTGCAACAACGTACGCATGTGTAAAACAATCATTACTGAAGCAATATATTCCTAGTGTCTAAACCTAGGTACACATAAAATGCACCACGCTAATGTTTAATTATTGGTGCATAATATTTAGTATGTAAAAGCTACGGTGCATGCATCAATATACAATTATTGTATTGCGTTAAATGTTTAAATATCAATTTAAAATGCTCAGATTTCAGTATATAGCATCAAAAAATGTTTCTATTAAGCTCCTGATGCCGCGCGTCTGGAGCGAGAAAGAGTTCTCGCGTTTTACAGTTGTGGATCCCGGATGACACCCGAATAGTCCTAGTAAGCCGCCCGAGTGTCCGCACCCACTCCCATCTCACCTGTCACCACCTGTCACCTGTATCAAGCCCTTCGACTGACATATTAGACACATAAACACATTATCCGTCGATTGGCACATAAACACATTAGAAATTCAGTTTCCCTGAAAGACGTCAATTGTTACCCAACTGAAGTCGAAATCAAAATTATTGACCTACAGCAGTATACTACTCTGAAAAGCAAATATAAAGAATTTATTTCAGCTGCAAATGATCTAAATTATATTGAATTTTTGAAATTGTACCAAAAGCAATTTTCCAAATTTACACGATTTGGCTGTCAGGTATTGTTGTAGGTTTGGATAAACATATGTTTGTGAACAAATATTTTCTATTACGAACTTAATAAAATCAAAATATCGTTCAAGATTAACTGATGTGCACCTAAAATACCTAGTTTTGTTGACATCTTCGAGAACTAATCCTAATATATATGACTTGATAAAAAACTACTTATTCAAAAACCACATGAAGTAAGTATTGATTGCTTAGTTATGCAGAATTAAACGTTTCACATTATTAATTTTATTTTATGCATAACCTAACTGAATGAGCCTTTAAAAATGTTTATTAACAGTAAAACTCAGTTTTTACGTTTGTTTTATTTAATATATTGTTTCAAATGTCCACTATTCAGACTTACATAAAAAATGTGCTATTTACCTAAAACTTCCATGATCAACCTATAAATAATATTTTTTTCACCTTTTTATATTTTTTAGTATGTCGGAAAAGTTGGAAGTGATACGCATAACTTTTCTTTTTCAGATAGTGGCACTCTTCCCAGAAACGTTGGCCATTCCTGGTCTAAAATAAAATAAATGCAGGTTTATCTGACGAAATAAATTGCTACTTTATCTGTACTCTCAGCCCAGCTTTCGTTGCTTCATAACACTACCGATGTCTCTAATATATTTCGAATAGTCATTCTGCCGTGTCTATTAGCCGGATACATTTTCTTTTGAATAGTTATTATTGATATGGCAGTCGGCTATTCTAAAGATGGATGTTCATTTCAAAGATTGTATGGGACGCCATTTTCTTGCGCTGTCGGGCCACTATTTTTTTAACATTCGTTCCATCTCAATAGATAAATAGAAACAAACTTCTAAACAGAATAGTGAGCAAATATTCTGTTTAGAAGTTTGTTTCTATTCTTATTATTTGCTCACTATTCTGTTTAGAAGTTGAAGTCTTACCTCGTTTTACGTAAGCTGTTGTAAGAGCTGACAAAAATAAGGCTGGATTTTGTTTTTATCGTGACTCCAGTGAGGCAAGCTTCAATAAACATACCTCAATAAATAATCGTATTCACACACGTCAGACATACGGCGTTTGAGTCGTGCAGAATGTTTGCACATAATCTGCGCAAACTGCTACTATTTAAATTATACCTTTGCCTCCACAGCTACTGTGGCAGAAGGCAGACTTCTGCACTAAATGGCGTGGCTGTACAGAGAGTTATGGTGTTGCGAAAGGCGAATTATGATCAAATTACACATTGGTGTTCATACAATTTTGTTCACCATGTGTATGTAGCATTAGTTAAATTTCAAGCTATGTATTCTAGATCATAGATGAAGATCACAGATGATCTAGGATAGTGGTTCTCAAGTTATGCACCCTTTTCACCATTGCTAGAAGATCACTTCCCCCTTCTTTTCAAAACTCAAAAAATACATATGCACATTTATTTAAATTTACATTATTTTTAATATAATTTATAAATGAAATAACAGAACGTGTAGAAAATGTTGATAAATAATAAAAGTTGAATAAAAGTATTTTTTAATATTTATAAACTAAAACTAAATACTTAAAAGCTGAATAAAAGACTGACCGCATTCCCTCCACGAAACTATGAAATTCTTCCCTAGAGAAGAATTCTCTCTTGGTTGAGAACCCCTCAGATCATAGATACTAAATCTTCAAAAATAAAGCTTTGAAAAAACTGGAAATGTAATTCAAAATTGTCTTTATATTTATTTCAAGTAATGTAAGATTTTGTTCTGTATCAAAATGCTGTAAACCAGGATGCTAAAACTTACCTTCTTGAATTTCCTAACAGCTAGTTTTTAATTTTATCATACACAGGCACACCCTTGCTATTTCAACACCTGTTAATGCCACTAATATATTTCATTCTATTGAGCACTCCCTGTCTGTTAATTTCATATATACAAAGTTAAGTCTAATTGTATAGCCAATATTAATCTATAATCTCATAACGTAAAATGTTTTATTGCTGAATTCAGTAATTTCATTGCTTCAAGTAATCTAATCTCAAATAACTAATATTTCTTGATAGAAAAGAGAAGCTGTAAGCTCTATCTTAAGAGATTGTGAACATGCGTTTGAAAAACTATTTAATGAGGGAAAATGTTGTTGCACTCTAGAATATAAGAAATTATCTTCAGATTTTTAACATATACGTTATTTATTACTTTGCATATCAAAAAACTACGTACCTGAATAAAAAAGGAGATAAGATGAAGAATGCTTCTGAAAGGTGTCCTTAACAAACATATAAGTGAGAAAGAGACAAAAATAGAATTTGGATCCATGGAATTTCCCATCAGAACGTAAATGGCGTAGGTTGATAACATTATCTGAGGGTTGAAAAAATTGCTGTCTTAAAAGATGCTTTACTAGAATATATTAAAAATTATTAACAATTTTCTGATATAAATAAAAATGCAAATACTAAGAACAGTTGTTGAGTTCCATTTAGTAAATTTAACGATATCCTAATGAAATTTTTTTATTGTATAGTAGTACTTTCGGTATTAATTTTATTATATGTTCAATAGATATTAAACCTGAAGAAAGAAAATATGTGGTATATATACTACTCTGTTCAGGTGATTATAACTAAACTTTCCCTATTCAGCATTCAGCATTTTTAAGCCCACTGTAAATAGTGCACAACAAAGGAACTTCGAATATACGTTATTGAGATTATGGGGAAATGAAATGCGAAATTGTCGCTACTATGGGGCGGTTTAAAAAAAATTATTCGAAATAAAATATATCTTCTTCTGTGCACATTAAAATATGCTGTTATAAAAAGAGGGCCATCAGTACCAGAAGACTATTATGTTTTGGCCAGTATGCCTCTTCAGAAGGAAAGAATTTTTCTGTTTGCCAAACTATTTTTGGAGAAAGGGAGCAACAGATTAACTGCATTTTGTGAATATCTTCAACTGAAAGGCTATGAAAAAGAGCCAATGACAAGGACTCGGGTTAAGAAAACTGAGATTAGTGTTCTTGTACATAGCAGTATGAATCTATACCAGCTCACCTGGTGGTAAGGTTTGCCCTCCATACTTAGTCCTGTCTTTTCCTAGCTGGGGGGATTTCTAAGATATCGTGTTTATTAAAAAAACGTTCAAACTGTCAATGAGTCGATAGCCAGCATAATGTGATATGTCATTGCTATTCTTCAGGAACATCTCGCTCCGACTATTGATCATGTTGTTCAACATACCAGATATACACAAAACGTGCATTTTAAACCCTTCCTGTAATCCAGTTGGTCTCTTGCTTTGGCTTAGAATTTTATATCTTGACTTGAAATATAGTAATTTCTACTTTAAATTAACTGTAACTAAAAAGTATCGCCTAGTGATGAAATTTCAATTATTTACTTTTCTACTTTTTTTTTCGTATTAAGCTTTTCTATGTATAAACAACTTCCATTTTAAGTTCCATCAATGTATCTATTAAAGCGGGCTGGAAAGGCTTCTGAATCAAAAAACTTTCATTACAACATACTGTAGGACTAGAAAGCAGGAATTCATTTGAAACTGTTTTCCTTTTATGGCATATGTAATTTGAATGTGTTTTTAACTAAGTTTATAAATGGACTTTACCCATTCTGAACTAAGAGTAGAACAGAAAGGGAAGCAAAGCGCTGAATGAGAGCGATGTGGTTAAGTGATCATATGAGATTTGAAAGCAAAGTTTACATGTAATATCTATATGCATTTATGTCCAATGAATAAGTACTATTTGTTCGGGGCCTGTTTTCGACTTACATTTTGTTTTAAAAAGAATACTATACTAAAAAACCAACACACGTTAATATTTTATATTTCCATTGTCTTATATGTAGCTGAAACTTTGCTGTTGTTGCTGTTACTAAATTTCGTGGTCTAAACTTGCAGCCATATCTGGCCCGTGAATTTTTTATCATGGAAAACAGGCAAGGGTTTTCCCTGTCGATGTCTTAGGCCTTCGGCACCTTTCCCAGTTTTGAAGAATTCTCCAGGCTATGGATCCAATGATCTGGCCCCTTCGCTTACTATTAAGCTCTCGAGCAAGACTCTTGGCTCGATATTTTAAGTACCCCATGCGGTAAAAACACTATAAACTTAAAAGCACCCATGAGGTTTTAATCCGGGCCCAAGGTAATGGCAGACGGTTCTTCTGTTACTTTGAAAACAGGGCGACTAAAGAATTAACATTGCCAACAGGCGGCTAAATAGCTAACCATGCCAACAGATAGAATTTAAAGCAAGCCATTTTGAATTATCCTGTTTCTAGTTTTATTGTTGCATTCGTGTAATAGTAATATAGTATTATTTACTAGAATGAAGGCTGTTGTCGGAAATTTTCGAATTCAAGATTTTAGTATATTTAAAAATGCCCTTAGTGTTTTATAACAATTCGCATATGTTTAGCATAATGAAGCAGGTTGGGCCTGCCATTTACTATCGTTATTTGCAAAGCCTGCAATTAGTTAAATTTGTATGTCTTTCAAGTGTTAAGTAATCATTCACGCGATTTTTTTCTTAAGTCAAATGAAATTCAAATAAAGGTAACCTAATTTAATTTTCCCTGTTCAAAATTTTCCATTAAATAACCATAAATACACTATGAAAAATGCATTTTCGAAATAAATCAGCAGAAAAATACTTCAGATATTCAGAATTATATTTTGTTTATTATTTTAATCAAATTAGTCCTGTGAAATATCCTTGGCAGAAACAAAATTGAATTTAGGCTGTATATATTACAATAATAAATTAGAGACATTAAATTTAAAACTGACCTGTAATTAATAACCTACTAACGATAGTCTTTGATATGGTAAATGTTTTCTAACAATTAATAAAGGAATTTAATGTGCCTTTCCATTTGATGCATCTTACATATACAGAGGACTGTTAGATCCGTAATGTGACCTAAAGATTAAGGAATCTATGAAAGATGAGCCCCAGAAAGTGGAATGCACATGCACATCAAGTATAATAGGAAAAACTTCGAAAACGACTATTCGGGGAATTAGAATTCCCACTTCTACTATTAGATAGGTCGATGGAGTGAGTAATGTTGGAAGCTCTTTTACGACTGTGAAAAAAACTACTTTGGGAAAGCAGCTATATTTAAGATAAGAGGAATAAATTATCATTGTACTCGCTGTCTTGCACATTTTAGAAAGAAATTCTGTGGCCGATACACATTGAGTGTGGCATCATAAACCTTAAATTTTTAGGACAGTGTACAAAATAATTTCTCGAAACGTTTCTCTAAACTAAAAAAATTTACTTAATTAAAAATTTTTAGTTTAGTTACTAACCAAAAGTTACCTCTCATGTATCCTGATACAACTAAGTTTTAGTGAATTTTTCAGCAGTCTTATAGAATGTTTTGACAGTGTACTAATATTTGTAAAAATATCTAGAAAGGCAACTAAGACAACAATGTAAGTCGTCTTAGTGTACTCAGTCGCTAAACTAATTTATAGCTTGACACTTGTAGTTGCCGGAAAAGATGTTAAAACTCATAAAGTATCAACTTGCGTCTTGATTAGACCATGCAATCCTATCACATATATGTAGCGAATGGTTCCTTGATAAAAGCCCAATGAACGAAAGCGCACTCGACAAAAGCCTTAAAAAAACTCCGTTGTAATAGTTGCCAATGCAAGAAATACTCATACGGATGAAAGGGCACATGCATAAAAGCCCACACCGATAGATAAAAGCCCACACTAATAAAATAATACATTGTTTTAATTCATTTCAAAATATATTTAAGATTGCATTCATAATAAATGGAATAACCGAATTAAATTTTTGATGTCTGAAAAGTATGTCTATTTATATATTTTGTTCTTAATTTATTTGTTTATTTTATTCGGTCAGAAACAAACTTTTCTGTTTTCTGATTAAGAGGTTAGCTATAAGGTTTTGACATTAAATCGCAGAACTTATTTTATTTATTCATTTATTATTATTTATTTATTTATTTATTTTATTGTATATTTTGTTAAAATGAATCTCATTTTGAAGTCCCTGGAAAATATTTTTAACGTTAGTGGCTAAGACTAATTATACGTATGTTTAAAATTAAAAAGTGGGGGGGGGGAGATTTTATTTAATCAAAGGATAGAGTAAATTTCTTTTGCCGTTAGAACGGAATACTTTCAAGCCTCCTTTAGTTCTTACTACAGTGTAAGGCAATATCCTCGAAGATTTAGGTACTTTTACTAAAAATAGCATACCCTTTACTTAATTGTTATTATTTTAAAATCAAATTAGACGTTTTAAAAAAATGTATGAAAAAATAATTAATTTTCATTCTCAAAAATTTCTTTCATTTAAAAGGGAGATTGATTTATATCTTTCATATTTTTGTTTCATTTCTCACTGTGACATTGCAAAAACAAGCTAAAAGCTTGTGTGAAAGCGTACATTTACCTGCAGACCACAATAAGTGATGGTCGGACTTTCTCTTTGTATTGCTATGTCGAAAGAGATAGTTTCCAAGAATCTGAGGTATCACAAAACAAATTTTTTGGTTCCCCGGGTACTAAATTTACCGCTGAATACTGGTAGTTCAACATTGGTTTGAACTCAGGAGAATAGATTGTCTCCATGTTTGTTTTTAATGGACGTTTCTTTGTGTAACGTGAATATGAGTCAGGTTTTCCCAGCAAGTCCCCCAGGAAGGCATGTCCGTCCTTAGGGAAATATAGCGCTTGTGCGCTTTGTTCAAATTCAGATAGCCTAACCTAATTTATACAATTCTAATTATAATTGCACTTGCATGGTTTCTCTAAAGCATCATCTTTTTAAATTTCACTATTGGTATACGCATTTATCATTACTTTGTCTGTTAATATAGTAGGAGCTGATAATGTTAATTGGATTGGATTGGATTGGATTATTTAATTATGGCAAAGAAAGCACACGAGGGCTATCTGCCTAAAGGGAGGGATGCCTTCGTGGAGGACTTTCTAAGGGAAATTGGCTCGTATACACGTTACACATGGGGAAAACCACGAAAACGCCCATGCAGCCAGCCCGTTCGCGGGATTCGAACCTCAGACCGAACTACCAGTGTTCAGCGTCTTTACCGCTCGGCCGCTGGTGGGCCTGCTAATGTTAATAACTTATAAAGGAAAAACAAATGATGTAATGAAATATTCATAATTCTAACACATATTATGTTTTTTTCACTATATTCGAAATACAGCCAAACAATGCAATAGATTTCCGAGAAATTTAAGAAATATAAATAGCTGAACAATATGCTGTAGAAATGGTTTCCTATATCAAATTTCAAACAGCAGAAGTATATATGTAATTTGAAAAGAATTTAATGTACCGAAAAATAAACATTCTTAAAGGAATTCCTCTAAATTAATATTTTAAAAGGGTTGTTAACTGAGAATGACTGGATGTTTAGTTACCATAAAATTAGAATAAAAAAGAATTATATTCCTTAAAAAGGAAAAAAGAAAGACATTTTCTTCTTTAGGAATTTTATCGAAGTTTAAAAATTGTGATCTTAATTTAACATTTGGTACCATACGGCATTGATGAATTATTTCAAGTCTTTATAGAATGGATTCTGACCTCTATTCATCAAATGCACGGATTATCTTTTGGAAATCCGTACAGTTGATGAATAAATGAGCCGTGACTGCAATTTCTGAAGCTTGAATTCAAATCAAAACCAAAAAGTATTTATTTAAAAGACGAGCATATTGTGTTTTTGTCTTTACAGGCCAGTTTCTTTCACAGTGAACTCATTGCAACGTTAATTGAACATTGCCTGCGCATAGATACATCTAAACATTAAAATTCTGTACAGGCATAAATTATCAGATGAATTTATTTACTTATAAACGAAGATGAGAGCAAAAATAGCTTTAATTTATGATGGGACATTTTAAAAACCAAAATTCGCTTCAACGTTGAGAAGCAAAATTTGTTCAGTGCTACTAGGAGCTCTCTTTTAAGGTTTTATCCTATAAATTTAAACTCGACGTTACCGCTTTATATTGTAGTTCAAGACCTAAAAGAGGCATAAAAATGTTCTGTTATAACTATAAAAGTAATTTATTTTGTTCTTTATTTAAATAATATTTTCCCCGTTTTTTGATATCAAGACGTACGTACAAGTAGTCTATATAAAGCTAAAAATAGCATTTGTGGAGTTTCGCAATGATATTTTTCTTTTCTTTCTGTCTCTCTCTCATCCACACACGCAATAAATAAATACATAATAAACAAATAAATAAATAAACAAGTGAAATTTTCATATTATCATGGAAACTTTATACCTGCTCCCTCAATCTAAATAAAAGCATAAATGCTTGTTTCAGCCTGATAAAATAAACAAATGAAATAGCTATAAAATAGAAAAACATACACATTTTTTAGACATCAGATATTCTTTTTTATAAATGCAAATCTTAAATAATTATACTAATAGCTTGGGCTTTTATGCGAGTGGATATTTGTCGCTCAGGTAATTATCATACCGGGGTTTTTTTGTGAGCTTTTGTCATCTGCGCTTTCGTCCACTAAGCTTTTATCTGGTCACCGTAGCGATGTTACAGCTGTTAAATTAGCAAGCGACGTTTTAGTGTGTGAAGCTAATGTGTAAAGAGGATACAGCAAATAAATCTGACGCTATCTTTTTGAGGAAGCAGAAACAACAATTTTCGTTTTATACGAAAGATAAAAAAATTAAGGCCAGCAAACAGTAGCAATAAGAATAATTATAATGCATATATTATAATGTACCATTTTGATTGTAATAATGCATATGTTACAATCAAAATGGCGTTAAACAGCTGGTATAATTTATTAGACAAAGACAGACCATCCCGCTTTATCAAAAGGCATATTGTTTACCGACGGAAATAATATGCATATTTCTATATTTTCATTTTGTTATTTACAGGAAAAATCGTGATCGTATATTGACTTTCAATAAAAGGACAGATCAATTTTGAAATTTTATTCTGTGTTTCAAAATTATTCTCCAGTATTACAATTTCATTCATGGATTCGTAGAACTGGACCATACAGAGCACGCAAAAAGTTTTCACCGTATTATTTCATTATTAATAAACTGCTAGTTGTATTTAAATTTAACTAAGAAGTAGTTCTCAGATTTTAAAGTATAAGGCATTTTGCTTCTTTTAAATGACAAAATTTTAAGAAAATGGGTTCTTAGTTTTAAAAAAGTAATTGAATGTGGATTATAACACATATCTAAATTGGAAGAAAATGTCAAAATATCATTTTGATTTCAATAGAAATACTAAGATTTATTAGAGAATAATAATAGGAATGATACGTATCAAAGAGTCAAAAAAAGTAAAAGTTATGAATTTCTCACCAGTGATGTTGCTGATACAGTAAGAAAACTGAAAACTATCTTTATATATCCAGATTTTCGCATTTCACTACTTTCTGATTTCCGCAAAGACATTAGCTTTCGTAAAAACAGTTCTTCCCATGCATAAAGTTTCACAACCTGAAAATATGATATTGAGAAATGTTGCCAAAATCTTTATATTTGGAATTATTTCAGAATTCTGAATTAAATCGAAAGCAAAACTTACTTTTATTCCATGCAAACATTCAGATAATACCTCAAGTCTTTCTCCTTGTTTTGCTTGAGCTTTTTTCTAAAAAAAGATACATTTTATGAACGCATTATTATTAATATGATAATTTTTCATTAAAAAAGCAATACATTTTTAAACATTTATGTATAAGAAGAAAATGACACATTTAAAACTACATCTCATTATCAAAATGAAGCCCTGTAAGATACAAAAATAGTGAATACGTTTTCGCAATCAGTATCTAAAGCTACATTTGCTTATAATATATATGTTTCAAGGGTTTTTTCCCCCTCAAAAAACGAAAAAAAAAAAAACGAACTAACTTCCTTATGAATTGTTCTTTGAAAATATATTGCTAATAAACAGGTGTCTGGCATAAAATTATCATAACCTATTAAATATTAACGGCTCATTTTGAAATATAATTTTGCTATAGACAAAACTAATTTGAGAATCAATAATTATTGCAAGATTTGGAGCAGCTAAAATATTAAGAAAATGAATTTATTTATGTAAACTGTCCGGTTATGAATAATCGCAGTTTGAAAAGTCTAGATTCTTACGGATGCTTTATCACTTTTCGGCTTAATATGTTATTAGTAAAAGAAATTAAAATATTAACTATTAAATAAAAATATTAGCAGGTCCCTAGAGCAGCGATTCCCAAAACCTTTAGACTGGCGGAGCACATTTTACGATCAGCTCGTCTAGCAGAGCTTCTTTAAGACTATTCTAATTTTTAGAAGTTAATGATATTTAAGAATTGCATTAGAGGTTAGGTTAGGTTATTTGAATATGGCAAAGCACACTACACCTATCTGCTTGTTACAGGGGTAGAAAAAAGACATAGACGGTAAGGGATTGTAAAGTAAAGAGCTATCTACATAGCTGTGCAGTGCCCATGAAAGGAAATTATACAATTATGTTATATGCATGAATTAAAATTTTAACTTTAGAATAATAATATCTCTATTTATAATTATCTTGATATTGTCAAAAGTTAGCCACACATAAAGAGTCTTTCAAAGTTCAATAAAGCTCAATTTGCGTTACAACAGATATTTTACATTATTCCTGACAGTATCATTAAAGTAGTTATAATAAATTCGGTTTCTGCAAGTTAATGATTGCATGCAGTCACACACACACACACACACACACACACATATATATATATATATATTGTTACGAAATGTACAGACGCGGTAAGATGGCTTCCCCGCAAAGCAGTTTTAGGGTTCCATAAAATGGCAAAAGAAGGCAGGTTTGCCACATTTGGCGCGAAATCGCCCATTTGGCGACCAAAATTGGCGCTATGCCACGGACGGATGGAGAACCTTCTGGAACGAATTCTTACCGGTTTAGCCCAGAATGTTCTCGAACACAAGCCGAAAGCTATATAAACCGTGCTGGTCCGCAGTCAGGGAGAGTGTGCCTCGTCTAGCAAGCTGATAGTCAGTCATTCTGCGAGTGTCTCGAAGTCAAGCGCCTAGTTGGTCGTCGAGTTCATCGAAGAGTCTCTCAGTGTATCGCGGTTAGTGCATCCTCGAGAGAGTGCGTTAAGTTCCGGGAACGACTAAACCGAAGAGTCCGGAGCTGTGCTCTATGTGACGTCGAGTGCATCGCGAGTTGTAGCGTGGAGAGTCTCGAGAGTACGTGGAGTTCCGAGAACGACCGAGCAGAGTCGGGAGCTGTACTCTGGTGCTTTGAAGTCAAGCTGTCTCCACCGTTATTGCCTGCAGTGTGAAGGCTGTGTCGCTGATTGTTCCAGCGTGTTTATTATAGATCTTCGACGACTGTAAAAGTGTTTTGGAGCTGTTCTGATTAATATTGGTAAATAAAGTGTGTTTCGCTACTTCATCAAGAAGTGTCATTATTCACTCCAAATCGCATGAACCCCGAACGCAACGTAACTTCAAGAAAGAAGAAGAAAATAATGCAACGTAACTTCAAGAAAGAAGAAGAAAATAACGCAACAATATGTTATATTAAATATAGTATATATGTTTAATGGTTTAATAAGACCCGTGACTGCTTTTCTGCGTCAATACCTCAAGACGAACATCTTATTCAAATGTGCAGCAAGTGTAACACTCTGTTCCCAAATTTTATGCAGTTTATTATTTTTATTATCGCCTTTATTAATGAACTCTTACTACTATATAAATAAACTCAAAAAGAAATCAAATATACAGAAAACTCGTAGAAGAATCACTAAATCATTAAGAAATGACAATATTATTGCTGTGAACCTTTTCTAAGAATCAACTTTCGAATCGACCAACCACCTGTATTCATATGGGGCTAAATTTTAAGAATAAAGAAGCTTCGTGAATGTGCAGTTCCTAGTAATAGACAAGCATGTTCTGCCAAAGCAGACAGGAAATTAAACTTGGAGAAATTTCGTTTTCAGAATACAGTTTCTAAAAGTAGAATCACAAATATGTAATCTTACTGTTTGCTTCTGATTTCATTCAGTTTTTAGTCATTTTATTTTCCTGGAGCGGTTGAGGGGCCGCTCGGAACACATTGCGAACCGCTGCCTTAGAGAATCAAGGGTTAAGTTTAATTTATGCCTTCTATATTTGAAAGATTATTTTATTATGGAATACTCTGATATTACTGAAAGCAAAAGTATTAGCAGTTTTTAACTCATTTTGATCGTATGTTTCATTTCAAAAATAGTTATTATCTCTAGGTTCTTGGTTCTCCACTTAGATTATGAAGGTTTGTTCATAAGATATTCTAGAAATCAATTATTAGTACAAAAATGTTGAAAATATTTACCTGGAAATAATTCGCTCCTTGCTCAACAAGTATGTTCATAGGAATAAGTAGCACTGCTATAGCTAATCCAGCAAAACAAGAAGATCCTAAGCACAGCCAAAGTCCATATAAACCAATCAAGAGGCGTAAAGGAGCTCCCCACACTTCAGTTAGCAGACATACCATTTGAAAAATATTATCTGCATCTGCAGTTATATACTGCTTGACGCAATCTGATTCTTGGCATGTTTTCAAAGACTAGAACAAAATAAGCAATTTGCATATTTTTTAAATTCGCATTTCCCCTACAATCCGTTATTATTATTTAAAAATTTCTAAAAGTACATTTGAAGTAGATATAATAACAAACAAATAATTTTTGAATTATGATATTAGAACTAAGAATGGTAGATGAAATCCTCCCCCCTTTTTTTACTGCATGATAAACTTAAAAAATTGTAATTGCTTTAATAAACGACAAAACACAGGACTACTGCATTAACTTCAACAAAAATGAGTTTGAATGCATTTCAAGTGATGGAGTGACCCTTTAATCAAGAGTTTATATTATTTTGGACAGGTACAAGTAGGGCGAAGCACCGTAATTTCACCATTGATTGCACAGGTGTATGTCCCACTGCATTAGCTTGGAAGGAGTATTTTAATTTCATAAAAGTCATTTTAATTTAGATAACCTTTCCTGTCATTTCTTGTTTCAACTTGCAACTTCCTACCAGAATGAATTTTTAGAATGGGGTTGAATGCAAATGAGTAAGAAGTACTATTAAAGGAAGGTTCAACTTGGAGAGGGAGAGCTTGGAATCCTGAGTCGCGTATTTGCTTTCGGGCTAAGTCTATAGAAGCTGTTACCATGGAGGTAGTAAGTTAGCTTTCCTAGGACCTTTCTTACCTCCATGGCTGTTATGATCAGCCGTATATTACGTGCCTTTCAGATAGTCACCGAATAGTTCAAATTTAAGGGCCAACTACATTAGATTTGTGTTAGCTTCAGCTAAGTCTCTCAGTTAGTGATAGTTATTTCTTAAAGGGGCCGACTGTTATTCTTATTTTTAGTGAAATAAGGGGTAGTTAACCCTTCTTGAGTTTAGGCTTTCTGTTGTTTGAACTAAGCGATAATTCGCTTAACAGTTTAATACGTTCCTGGATATTTACTTTAGTAGAATAAAAGAGAGGAACTCTACAAGCTCTTAAGCTCCATCCTAATTTTGAGGACACACACTTCAGGTTATTGCCCTAGGGTACCCATCTCTTTTTTACCTAGGACAAAGCACTTGATTACTTTCGCTCCACCGTGTATTTTGTGTCCCTCTCCCATACAGCACAGGCACTACACTCTTCTGCACTTTCGCAGGGATTCGAACTTCAGCTCAGTGATACAGCAGGTAGGAGCACTGACCACTATATCGATAACTGCGTATTATTTTACACAACATTACTCGCTTGTATATTGTATAAAGATGCGTAGGAATTTTCAGTGTTCTATTTTTTTTTAAAGAAATATCAAAAACATACACACCCTATACCAATGGTGGCGAACCTTTTGGGAGCCGCGTGCCACATTAAATTAGAATTATTCATAAGTTACCTCAAAATGCTTAGATCTGAAAACTGGAATCTATTTAACAATGAAACTATTAAAACTCACCGGCAGTCTGCAATAAAGTTGAATTCGTTTAGCAGACATTAGCTGCTTCAACTTTGGCTTATTCTTTGTCATGTAACAAGTAATATGATTGACCCAAACAATTGAAACGGCATAAATTGGATCAATAAATATGTATATCATTTCTCCGGCGATATATGAAAATCTTATATCTAGATTTAGGCCGTATGCCAGTGGCATTATGCGATAAGTAAGTGAAACATTCAAGAGCAGACTAAAACACTTATTTAAATTACGTAGTATCATTTTATTGTGATTATTGATTATTGAAGTAATATTTTAGTCATGTGCTGGCTGATGAGGCTCTACGTGCCGACTGTGGCATGAGTGCCATAGATTCGCCATCACTGCCCTATACGATAATTAGACTGTGTCGGATGGTAAAAATGGCAATTCGGAGTATTGACTGCTATTGACAGATTTTAAAGAATATATAAAATATTTCCCCAATATATAGTTAGTATTTGAATTAGTTCTTCAAATAATTTTAGCGAGATATATATAGGAAAAATGCTCGAGAGATTAATAATGATTAGCTTCAGAAAATTTTGTTGTCTATGAAATCTCAAGGCTCTGCTATTTTGGTCGGAAATCACCGTAACAATACGGATATAAATTTTACAGAAATTTAGCTCTGGTATAGGCTTTAAGACTGAAATCTTAATTTTAAAACCTACCAAAACAAATTTTGCTTTTGAGAAAGAGGAGGCAAGCTGCCGTACTTTGAAATGCACTGTGCATCCTTTTTATCGAAGTTAAGACAAATAAAGGCTAAAATTTGATTATATATCAAATTCTGAAGTGATATATATCTCTTATCTTCGTTACTGCAACTGCCTTTGACTTACTGTAACTGGACTTACTGTTACTGTAAATAATTAGAAGATAGATTAATTTTAAATTAATTTACTTAAAGCATTTAATTGGTAATAACTATTTTGCTTATTTCATTGGTAATAATTAGAATTACATGCTTAATTATTTGATACGTATTGCATGTTTAGTCGCAGTTTCATCACTGGTGAGAAACTGTGGCTTCAGTAGAATGTCATAACATCTTTTGATGCATAAAAATAAAGTAGTCAATATATCAACAGTTGTTCATGAACTGTTTCATTTACAGCAACATTTTCAAGTGTTTTAAAGCATAAATTATGAAGTAATTTATTTTCCTCACTAATATATATACAGTTATTGAAGTTCTAAAAAATGATCATTTTTGAAAGTACTGTTTTTTCAGTATTTATTGTATCTGTCCACCTATCGAAGCACAACTAGGAAATTAGTGCATAGGAATCGTAAACTTATGATCTCAGGTGAACTGTGTCACTTAGTTACAATGCAAATAATTTTAAAATAAAGTCAGAATTATAGGAGTTAAATCTCTCCCTCCCCCCGATATATTTTTTATATGTAAATCAGACTCTGTATTGACTGCATTATGTTTTTTGAATGGGCAGTTTGAGCACCTCTTCATTCTTCTCTGAAGAGGCAACAATTAGTTTTCTTCAACCATAATACTTTATTCCTTTTAGCAACCTAGTTTATTAAATTTTTTATAATGTTACACTACGAATTTAAATAAAGCTTATTTACTGGTTAAAACAAATTAACGCTTAATAGGCAGTTCATTTAAAACTTTGCTTTAACAGCGGAAAACGTAGATAGCTAGAAAATTTAAAATCCCTGATTCTTCCCAGCAATAAAACTCTTTATCTTAAGCTGAAGAATGATTCAAATATAGAGTATTAATTTTCAAGTTTTGCTAACTTTCTTTATGGTTATTGTTTATTAGGCACCATCTCGATTTCAAGAATCATATAACTGTATCTGCTTCAACTTTTCTTAATCAGTGTTATACTTAATTCCTATTTTATGCAAACAATTGAAACAAATTGCGTGCATTTAAAAAATTCAGACTAGCACTTTTAAAATCAAATGAGTTTCCAGGCACCTTGTAACTTCACATATTTATTAAGATTATATATTGTAACTCGCATTCCTCGTGGGTGTTTCAATAATTGTTCAGAAGACTAATTTTTAATGCTTAATTACATGAAGAGCGGGGAGGGGAAAGAAGTAGCTATTCGCTTTCATCACCCAAAATAGTTTCCCACAAACCTTTTCAAAAACGGCATTCATTACTGCCGTCTTGATTCTTAAAGCTGCCATCAGTCCATAATACTTCCGCTGCGAATCAACTAGAGAAGAAAAAAGCAACACAACGAACAGAGCGGTAGCATATACGTAATTGTGCCATTCCTGGTCTTCCTTTCCCTTGCTCAAAATGAGGCTGTAAAGGAAAAAAAATTATCTGATCGTGGTTAGCGGAAACGCTTAATAGCATTTGCAGTCAAATAAATTGAGCTTAAGTGTTCTATTAACGGGACAGATCGAAGGAGAATTAAACATCAAAACTTACTTCAGAATGTAAGATGGTAGAAAATATAGCAAAGTGAGCACCAGTTCCAGAAATGATGCAAAAAGGAGGAATTTTAAGGCGACTTTTATTAAAATCGGGAAAAGTGATTTCTTTTCTGGGAAACTTTGACTGTTAAGTACTACATCATCCTGAGATTCTAGGTCTTCCTCGCCATTTTCTATAAGAGATGCCTCATCCTGTGCTCGTGATGTAACATTTTGTCTGAAAAATTTTAATATCAGGTAATCATATTACATAACTAATATAAACTGCTGAAATTAAGTTCGATTATTACATCTTTATAAATCTTTTTCGTGCGAGATTAATGTGTTTTGTAAGCAGCTAAAATAGATTCTGATTTAGTTTACGTAGTTTAGAACTAATATTAACGTTTAATTAAAATGAATAATAGAGTATTTACCAGCTTAAAAACTAACTCCATGGGAGTCAAAGGAAAATCCGTATTCACCCCTTTAATTTCAGAATAAAGGATCGAAGACTCAATAAAATAAAAATAATTATAGCGCCATTTTACGAAAAATGCAAACAATGATTAAATTTAACTCTATAACTAAGCAAGATAGAAAAAATGGCAAAAATCACTGTTATCCAATGTTATTTCATCAGTATAAATCTACATTCAGAAATACTCTGAATGACAACAGTTATCTCACAAACATCATTTATTATAAATCGATAATAAATTAAAAGCTGATTGACAATGAAATTTTGTGATATTTGGGACATATATGACGTTTATAACACCTTATAAAAACTTCCCATAGGCCCATCACGTTCGTTCTCAGACTTGAAGTTTGTTCTGACATCACTTAAATACCTGATCCCCTAATCTACCAGATATAGGGCTACTAGCCTTTTTAAGAAGGAAACCTGTTCGACCATTTATTTATATGTAGGCCTGACAGGAAATGTTTGAGAATTAAGACTATCTCAGATAATAAGATTTCACCAGAGGTTCTGTCTTCAGGCATGCATTTGCATGAGCATAGTGGCAATAATTGAGGTACATGGACTGGCAATGCGTTTGGGAAGCTTTCACGAAGCATGGTTTTATATGACAGGTGAAAGCGAGCTCGGACACTTATATTCACGTGACGAGAAAAAGTGGTTGGGACACCAGCACTTAACGAATGGTTTTACAGGTACAGTTCCACCGCACTAATTGTATAGCTCCTATTTTTGGATAGACAGCACTTGAGTGATCTCACACCTCTTCACGTATCACAAAACCTTTCGAAAGAATTTCCGCCTCTCGAATATTTTAAGTGTCCCTATGCAGCACAGACACTATACATTCACAAACATTCAAGCCTTCACTGTCCGAACGCTAGCCCAACGATGCTGTAGCCAGCGTCATTCACCACTATACCGATAAGGAGGGGGCATATTCGTATGTCAGAAATATCATAAAACATGACAGAAATATCAGTGCAGATGTGTTTGTAGCAAGGCAATGTATTTCATGGGACAAGTACATTGGATAACCCATAACTGGTAAGTCCTTCGACTAATTTTTTAAAATAGTAACGGCATATCCCAAGACATAATTCTTCGAAGTTACTCGACAACTCGAACGTTGAAACCCTGCCAACCTTTCTTTCGTGTTCCCAAATGTTGCAACTTTCTTGTCTTGTTTTCTAATGTTACAGCCTTCCTCTCCAGTTCTTGTAAAATACCTGTGATAAGCAGGGACAATGTGTTTCTTAACATTAGAATTTTAATTAATGCTCTACAGTGAATAACTGAAAGTCAGTGAAGGGGAAAATAAAGGGTTTTATCTGCCTTGAGTTATCGATAACCAGCCACGGTAATTCTAAGCAAAGCGTCTCATTGAAAGTAAAATAATCTTTCAATTTCAACAAAATTTTGTTTAAAAACTGACTGAATATTCAGAAAAAGTAAAAAATTTACATAATTTTCAAAAGCTAACATAATACGAGCAACGAACACGTTTTAGTTCATGAGTGGCCTACCTTGATAATTAAGAGAGGAAAATATGTGTTTTATTTGGTGCTATTTCAAGGTGATAAAGTCGATTTAATTTCTGGAAAACAATGGCAGTGCAAGGACTATTATTTCAGACACTAAGTGAATAAAGCATATGCTTGATCAAGCATATACATATTCATGATAATTGCTCACAAGTTTTAGAGGTAAAAGTAATACCTACCTGCTTCCTGATGCACATTCGTGGTAGAAGTCCCTCGCTACGTTGGATGTTTTAAGTTCATAGCATAAAGGTACTAAGTAATCTTGGTGTAGACTGCTTTTTACGCTCTTTGTTAGCAACCTAAGAATAAAATAATCACCTGACCTAACTAAATAATTAATTTTTATTCAAATAAATTTAGTCTTTATATTTTTATGACATGAATCACATCCTTACCTAGTTGGTTTTTCACTAGAGGAAAAAGAGACAAATTCACGTCCCTATACGCAGTAGAATTTGACTGTTACGCGTACGCGGTATAAAATAAATATATTCTAAGATAGCTTTTATAAACTATAATGCTACAGTTAAGTATACCAGTTCTTAATAGTAGCTTTTTATTTCCAACAAAATAAACATACTATAGTTGCAAAGCAAAGAACAGTAAATATATTTAAATTTTTTCAGTCAAAATAAAAAATAAAAAAACTGTATTAAAAAGTATGAGTAACATTAATTAAAAAAAGTAACTTATTTTAAACATATTTTTATGTTTTCTTTAATTTAACGAAGCGAAATCATCAATAATTCTCTCAAATTATTTTTTAAATTTTAACTTCTTAAGTAATTATTCATTTAAAACAGAAATGACACCTACTAAACACGAATGTTTCCTCTCCATATGATAAGTTATAAGAAAGAACAGTAGTATTTTTCGAAATCATGTTTTAAGTTTACCGCAATCTTTTTCACGAAAAACTACAGCAACTGGCAACATTAGAACCATCTTCAGTATGTATAATGAATTCTCTAACTGTAGCTATTATTTAATTATTATAATTTTTGAAAGATTTGAATCAGTAGCTGTTTTAATGCTCCAAGTGATTTCACGGTTTTTAAAATTACATATATCTGTAGCACTTACATGATTTAAATAGCCAAGCGCTCATACAAACTCTTCCTTTCAAATCGCCTAAATCTAATGACAAATTTTCTCCAGTTAGAAATTGGAAATTAGAAGATATCTCATTTAATTTTTTTTATAAATATTTTGGGTGAGATCAAAACATCTGCTATATTTTTCATTTCTAATAGGAAAGCATGATTTTCCGGAAAAATTAGTTCTTTTACCATTTTTATTTATAAACTAATTTATTAATACTATTATTGTATTCCTGCTGAAATTCTATTCATATATCCACTTTTAAAGCAAAATTTTCATAGTTATCAAAAATTTATCGTAAAACAGATATTTAATGTATTGTAAAAAAAAAGGTGATCTCCTAGGGCGCAAATTTATGTGCAGTTAGTTTCTTATTATAGGAATTCAATAACATTTTCTATTTCTTGCAGTGTTTAATTACTCCACTCCACCGATAACGTACACAAAAATTCCAAACTGATTTTCTGCCTATGTCTGTTAGTTCCACCATACTGCTGTTATTTATCATTTGATACAGTTATAGAGATATTAGGTTAATTGGAAAAGCCAGAGAGATGAAAAATATGCAAAGCCTTCGCCGGGAATCGAACCGCGGACCTCCAGAATACCGACCCAATGTGCAGACCACCACACCACGAAGGCACGCCAAGAAGGTGGGAGAATACCTTGTAAAGGGCGACTGGGATTCATCACCAGGACCCCCCTTTTAAAGGGCGACTGGGGTGGTCCTGGGTGAGGAGAATCAACTTCCAGCACCCTTTTAGTTCGGGCGCCACTGTAGAGACATTAGGAATTTTTGGAATCAGAAGAGATGAAAAATTAAAAACGCCTACCCCGGGAACCGAACCACGGAACTCTCAATTACTCGCTGAGCGTGCAGACCACCACACCACGAAGGCTTGTCAAGATGGTGGGAGAAATAAATTATACAGTATAATAATAATAATAAGAAGAAGAATAACCGATATGGGTATCTCTATCTTTAATATATTACAATTGAAATTTTGTTATTCATGATTTAATTCAAGTCCCCGTTAAACATGTTTAACAATTTACATTCAAGTTACTTCAAAACATCTTTCGAAATAGAACTTACTAAGTATGGATTCACTCTTTTAAGATAATTCTACTAAAATTAATCTCAGGAGATAATATAATCAATATTATTTAGTAAATATATTATATATTATATATATAATGTGCATGTCTATATGTTTAATATATTTAATATTTGATATAAAATCTCTATTTTAACATATATAAAAAATTTTTAATGATTTTCGGCATTATCTGCTAGTTCCAACATACTGCTATTATTTATCATTCGATAGCGTGTAATAATAATAATAACAATAATAACCTTGTAAGGTTTATCCTAAATTTTTAGTTAAAGTCCCTTTCCTGTCTCTTCTACGAGAATTTCAGTTTACAAATTTCCTGCCATAATGTGTTTTCAGAATTATGAAAAATGAAGGAAGAGCAAGTATTTAAAGTCGAAGTTCTACTGACTTCGTTAGAGAGCCAGAGATTCTGAGCAGCTCGCGCTCGCCTTTTGGCTATACTCTATGTAAGCTATTTCGACGCTCGGCCGTATTTCAGGCCCTTGATAGCTTCGCCGTTGAGTTAGCGTTAAGGGGTCAAATCCTTTAGAATTTTGATAGCTTCGGCTATATCTTTTTAGTTAAGGTTTATTTCTTAGTATTCTTGAGTTCAAGCCCAAGTAGAGGGTTTTCTGTACGTCCTGAGAGAGGACGTCCGACTGTGAACTTTATTTTGAGCAATAAAGGGTAATTACTTCGTGAGTTTACATTTCTATCTTTCTGAACTAAGCGATTAATCGCTTACCAGTTCTCAAGGTTCCACACATTTAGCTGTAAATTCTAGGTTGGAGCATTACAACCTTAATAACCGATGTGGGTATCTCTGTGTTTAATTCATTGACACGGTTTGTATTCATTGCTTGTCCACAGGTTTAATGCTATTTATAACATGGGCATAGTTACATCACATAAGCTCAGAGCTGTTTTTTTTTTTTTCCTAAAGAACATACAAATCCTCTGTGAAGTTTAAAAAATCGAAAATTACTATCCTTGAGCTTGTAAACGCACCCTTTTCTCGTATGAATCTTAGGCAATAACCCAAACAAGAAAGGCATTTGTCTTAATCATTTCTTTGACAAATAGCGATTTTATTTACCGGCCATATTATCTTCTTTATAGTATCCTTTATCTTAGACACATCAGATGTTGGATATCAAGAACGTTTCGGCAAACAATGCCCATGATTTCGGAAAAAATTCAGAATACTCACTTCTGTCAAAGAAGCTTCATCAACATGCTGATGCAGAATTGTTTTTGCGAAGATGTGAATTTCCCTGGGTTTACACATGATTTAAGTAAGTGCGTAAAGATATTAGGATTTTTGGAAGCAGGAGATGTGAGCAGTGCTTTCGCCGAGACTCGAACCGCGGACCTCTCGAATACGCGTCAAGCGTGCTGACCACTACACCGCGAAAGAAGGCGGGAGAAACACCTTATATACCCCTTTTTTAAAGGGCGATTGGGATTTAGGGGATCCGATCGCCAAATTCTGGTGGTGAAGAATCATCATTCACCACCTTTTAGTTCAGGCGCCACTGTAGAGACATTAGGAGTTTTGGAAGCAGGAGATATGAAAAATGAGCAACGCCCTCGCCGAGACTCGAACTCGAATACGCATTACTCTCGAATACGCATTTACGGACCTCTCGAATACGCATTGAGCTTGCTGACCACTACACCACGAAGCCATGCTAAGAAGGCAGGAGAAATTCCTTATAAGTGCTGTGTTGTTAATCACTTACACGTTGTCTACTAATCAGCTGAACGTTAATTGCAGCATTAGAAATGGAGAAAGGTCATTCGTTTCTCCATTTCTAATGCTGCAATTTTAATGTCCAACAATAAAGGTCATTCGTTTCTCCATTTCTAATGCTGCAATTTTAATGTCCAACAATGTATAAACTGATTAATTATTCTAATTTTAACTTTATGACTTTTTCCCTGTTAGAGATGATGACAAATTTAAATTCATTCTTCTACGTTACTTTTTGTTTAATAATTAGCGTGCCGTTAGTATAACTGTCATAACCGAAAATAAATCCTTTATAATTAAATGCTCATGAGAAGAATTTATTGTAGATAAAGCTACGTAATTTTTGCAGTAATATAAGTTTTGTAAGTATTGTTTTAATACACGAAAGTACAATTAATCAAGGTGCACCATTTGTAATTTCAGAAGTTTGATCTTCAAGAACAAAATATAGGTCTTAGTTGAAATAATTTTAATTTTTCATAACCAAAACTGATTTACCTTAATAACCAGCTGAATGTTAAACGGGATGGCAGAGAGGATTCTTCAAGAGGACAATACGTCTGGAAAAAAGTTTCATTTCAGCAACATTAGTGCAAAATATAATAGGATGACACTTTCGAAAATCTCGAAACGGGTTAAAAGGGTATTTTCGTATGAAGTCATGAATATTATCTATGATATTAAGCCTACCCACGGGAAATTAGCGTTATAAACAACCACAGTAATTGAATACGTTATTAGTAAAAAATAAACACAATAGGAACATGATGTACTGAAATAGAAGATTTAAAGAAAGAAATAATAAGGCTAATTAATGTTTAAGTAAATAACCAGGTTCAAATACAATTTATTAATTTCTATATTAAAAAGGCAGGCATTAACTTTTCTATTTAATTTTTTGACTCTTTATGGTATGAAAAACATTACCTTAAACCTTAACTGGAGGGGTAATGGAGGATTTTGAAGAGTTAATGGATTTATACTTGTAAATATTAATTAATTATTAATTAATTTGTAAATATGTATATTTAATCAATATCGGATTCTTTCTTTTACTAATGAAGGGCCAACTCTTTCGAAAGTCTTAATTATAGCCCGAGTTAAGTGAAAATTTTTATCTTTTTTCTAATTTTCCTTACCTTTGGCCGGCATTTAGTAAAAGTTTTGATTTAACTATTGTAGATTTTCAGTTTTAATAAATTCAGTTTATTACAAAAAGTTTCTTAGGAAATCATTTTCCATTTCATTCATTTTGTATTTTTAAAAATGATATTTTTAAATTTAATTTTTTTTTCAAACTTTAAATTAAATTAATTTAATTCAATTAAAATGTTTATTCGAACTTTTAATTCATTAAAATTTTCGAACTTGGCAGTTTGCAACATATATTTTCACGATCCGTAACAGTTTGCAATATTTTTGCAATCCTTTACAGTTAGCAACATTTTTTCATACAGAACAAGCATTTAAGATTTCGCATTACTTAAGAGTTTACAGCATGGGTTTTTTACAATAGATCACACAGGTAACAGCTTAACACTCAATTGTGCATAGTACTAGCGCCCTCTATTTATACAGTTAGCAGAAACAAACTACTCAACCTCACTTTGTTTAGCAAATGCTACTTCACTCTCCAGGATACAAAATATGTAGTTACAAGTTAAATTAAAACTTACTATTTAATTGCCTTTTAGGTATTATTTTTGTATTTTTACAGATTGTACTTAGTTTGTTTTGGTTTACATGTATAATTCGTGTCGGGGAAGTTTCCAATAGGCAAGGGTTTCTAAATTACTTTGGATTTCTAATTAGAAGTATACTTTTAATTAATAATTTTGTTTCCTAGTCGATTTGCTTACTAAATTTCTCGAAATTCTTAAAAATTTGTTTTTAAGCAATTCACTACATTTGATTTTACTTTTGGTTTTGAATACTTCTATACCCATATCTATATGGATGACGACAAACGAATTGAGTAACTGAAGAATTAGGTTTGGAGGCAACTTCCCCTTGAAAAGATCTGTCTCCTGCCTGCTCAAGAATTATTCACTTTATGCAAATTAATTTAGTCTTAAAATTTCTTTAAAATTTTTAGGATTGATTTTCGATTATTACATTTTTTTTCATGGTTTTAGATACTTGCAATTAATTTACATATGCTCTCTGAATTTAAATGATATTGTAAATTAGTTCGAAGCAATAATAATACTTTAATTTATACAATTTTTCATAATTTAAAATTAAAAAAATTTAAATTTAAATTAGCTTTAAATAAACTTCATTACGAATAGCAAAAACTTGTTTAATTCAAATTTCAATCCTTTCAGCAATGGCGCAAGCGTATTATTTAAATTTAATTTAACTTTACTGTTTATTCTTATGAAACAATTTACTTTATAAAATATAACACATATAAAGATATACTTCTATAAGTTAATAGACAATTTTAAAAACAGAATTTTTAAGGACAATATGAAAATAAAATTTAAAAAAAATTATCGAAAAGAATTTTAGATTTGAAAAATGACAAGACTTCGAAAACGCAGATATGCTTGTCATATGGTCTTACGTATAAAAAAGTAAAATTAAACTGGGAGAAAATATAGCTAATAAAATTAGTATGGTCATTTGGCATACAACTGTCTTTTGTTACCAAATGATTAAATTTTCAGAAGATTATCTGTGTACCTTTACTTCGGAAATATATGAGAGGAATCTGGACTGAAATTTGGTTCACAAGTCCCTTCTTGAATTTTATTATATGTTAAGTAATAATTAGGTCTTAAAAGCTGTTTCAAATGCAATTGAGTTATAATCCAAATTAGAAAGACTCTTTTGTTGAGAGGGGAATATTGCAGAAACACAAATATGAACAAAATTACAGTATTATTTTCATAGAATGATTATGTGCTTGTAAATAGAAAAGGCATACCTTGTATTCTCTTCCACGATACGACATTTTTTTATCAGCAATGGATGATAAAATCAGTTGAATTATAGAAATAAAAAACACAATGCTATCATGAACAAGGCTTGCCACTGAAGTCCATTCCTCCTAGAAAATAATTGCGTGTGCTATTTTTTATATGCAATAGAGTGAACTAAATATATTTACAGATTGGTAGAAAGTATCTGTACATATCTACTTATGAAGCGATGCATTTGTTACTGAACCTATTAAAGCAATTTATGAAAATAATACCACAGATTTTGATGATTAAAGTCAAGTAATAGAATTTCAATACAAGATGTAGTCTAAATATTACCTATTTATTTAATTTTGGGATTCTTTTTTCAGTCTTAAACTCTTATAAGATGAGCTACAATCGGTCCTGGTAAATTTCATCTTGAAAGACCCTTATTTTGCATTAGAGGCTCAGCTTCAAAAAACATTTTGTTAAAAAAATTGTTTATTTGCTTTCATATTTAGAAAACTCACGAAAGTGAAAGTACAACCATACCGCTCAAAACCTAAACCGTGAAACCAGAAATGTAAAGTTTAATCTTTATTTCTGAAACTATAAGAAAAGAGTTAAATCACCGATAGAAAAGTGAATAAAAGTTTTGAACCATTCAACACTAATTAGAATTATACAATACTACATGTATAATTCCAATAGATTATACAAATACTACACGTATAATTTTAATCCAGATTATAGGATTTTCCAAATTACAGGTAAATAAGTAAATAAATGTGCACGATATGGATTTTTCAAGGGCATAATTTGAAAACTGATACAATAATCTGAGCAAAAATAGAAGTACTAATTTGGTAGACATTATTTTGATCATCTAAAAATGTAAATCGTCAGAAATTGATTAAAATTGCGGTACCCGTAGAATAAATAGTATTAGAGTTTTTACTAACTTCTGCGATAAAGAAGCACTTTTTTGAAATTTTGCCTCCAAAATACTTGACCTGAAAATTCGTAACAACTTATATCAAATCAATTATTATTAAGTTTTGTCTTTGGATAACTTCACAAGATTTCAGTATTATGACGCATTCTTTCAATGCGTCAGTCTGTTGATAAAATATGTCATTTAGAGCTCAAAAATGACTAACGTTGAAGTATGGTTACTAAAACTTTCTTAAAGCATTATTGTTGCAGACGTTTCATAAATTAGATACATCAAATTTCTTTCTCAATAAGTTGATTTTTATATTGCATGGAAAAAAAAAGAGTTCGTTTCACCTTTCTTCGAATGAACCAAAACTAAGTCATAAATTATAAGATCAAAATTGTGTAGAATTTTGAAAATGATATCATCTTTCACCCTAATTTATGTGTATAAATTGACAACAAACTAGAGCTTTAATAAGTTTGAACTTTGATTACCGGATCCAGGTCTTGTATCTCGTCATAAATGCTGATGAGGGTTGTAATCGTGGATATCATCCAAAAGGACGGCAGGGCAAGAGATACTCGTAAGCCTCGGCGCTTGCACATCATGGTCAGAATTACGGTTAAAACCTAGATTGAACATATACGTTGAATTAATCAAGTAAAAGGAAAGCTAATTTTTTATAATACCTTAAATACACTTAAGCTTAAATATGTATAAATAATGTATTTTTGCATACATTTAAAGCAAATATCTTCATTTATACTTTACCTTTCGAATATCTTATCTTCTGGCGAAACAGTTAATTCAGGTCATCTCCAATGGAAAGCACTTCTACGAATTATGTTTTAAATACGCACCTTTGAACTTAGCATAGCAATAAATATTCAACCAATTCAAACATAAGGCAACGTCACCTGTCAATTCATCAGACTCCTGTATATTTAAATTTATGTAAAAGTATATATCATTTTATCGAATCAAAGATGCAAATCGAAGAGAAAAAATATCATTGTATTATGACAAACCTATGGAGTCAGTGGGAACATATATAGATAAAAGCATTTCTTTATGTTAGTATTTTCTGAAATATAGCACGAGAAATAAATAAACTTAAACGACCTTAGAAAGCATCTAAAATACAAAAGAATCAATGCAGAAGAAAATGTGCAACTTACTATAGTGAGAAGATAGGCAACAGCAGCTATCAATCCATCAAGTCCCTTTTCTTGATAATTTACATAGGCATAAACTTCTTTTGCCAGATCAAGGATGCATATTACCAAAAGAATCCCCTTAAATACCTAAAATGGAATGTTACCAGGTGTGATTTAATACATTCATATCGTATTGCATTCTTTAGGCTTGATGAAATGTACAGTTAAATCTTTATATCGATCACAATTCTGTTATCATTTAATTTTTCGATGGTCTGCACATATCCAATATACTGAAAGTCATTAGGTTAATTGGAAGCAGGAAAGATGAAAAATATGCAATCGTCTTCGCCGGAAATCGAACCGCGGACCTCTGGCATACCGGCCGAGTATGCAGACCACTACACCACGAAGGCACTCTAGGAAAGCAGGAGAAATACCTTATATACTCCCCTTTTTAAAGGGCGACTTAGGCTTTTAGAGGGCCCAATCGCCAAATCCTGGGTGTGGAGATTCATCATCCACGACTCTTTTAGTTCGGGCGCCATTTGTAGAGTCTTTAGGTTAATTGGAAGCAGGAAAAATGAAAAATATGCAACGTCCTTCGCCGGGAATCGAACCACGGACTCTGGAATACGCGCCTAGTGTGCAGACCACTACACCAAGAAGGCACTCTAGGAAAGCGGGAGAAATACCTTATAATATTAGATGTCTTAAATCTAAGCGACAATGTTATGTAAAGTCAAAAATGCATTTTAGTTAAACAGACAGCTACTCATTAAGGTACGCAATTTCCAACCTTGCATATTACATTAAAACTAGAATTTTGGGAGGGGGAAAAAAATCTTCTACTCTTACTTGTGTTCCCGGCAGAGTTTCTTTTGCATTTTCCTACGAGTTTTATACCGAAATATTGTGCTCACAATACTTGCCTTTTAATTAACTTACTATTTTAGTTATTTATTGATTGATTGATTTTATAATGAATAATATTTTCTTAATAAACAATGTATCCTGCTCATAACAATCCACGCTTCAGATTGTTTAATTATCTTGTAGAGACATTAGGTTATTTTTTTTAAACGACACAGAAAAAACGAGCAATACCCTCGCCGGGACTCGAGCCTGGACTTCTCGAATACGCACCGAGTGTGCTACTGTTACACCACAAATGCATGCAGAAAGGAGGGAAACATACCTCATCTACACCCCTTTTAAAGGGCGATTGGGGATTAGGGGACCCAATCGCCAAATTCTGGTTGTCAAAAATCATCAGCCATCACCTTTTATTTCGGGCTTCACTGTAAAGTAACTAGAATTTTTTTGATGCGGGAGACGTGAAAAATATGCAATGTCCTCGCCGGGACTCGAACCTGGACCTCCGAATACGCGCTGAGTGTGCTACCGTTACACCACGAAGGCATGTAGAAAGGAGGAGAAAATACCTATAAACTTACTATTTTCGTGATAGACAGTGTTGTCCACGGAGTTGAGCTGCCATGATATTTAGAGATTTTGAAAAATTCAAATGGTGCCACAATCCATAACACTCCGCATGAGCCAATGACCAAAACTAGGTGTTGAAAGCAGTGACTTAAATAAGGTTTTTCTGCTTCCCAGGAAACGCTGGAATTCTGCAAGAAAAACGTATCGAAAATAGTACAAAATAAAGCCAAAAAATATACAGCATTTCAAATTATTTCCTCCTTACCCAGAATGGAGTACTACAAATTGCACTGACATCCATTGTTGTTTGTTGTCATTTCCTTTTTGAAAGTATTTACTTTATCGAAGCTCACAATATGACCATTATCAGAAAGTTATCGAATTGTCATGTGGCTCTATTCACTTTTCTTTTTTTAAATCCGAGGAGATAACATTTCATATCAGTCGATGACGTGATCCAAAAATTAGTTATTTGCATTTTATTCTTTTGGTTTTCTGTTAGTTCCATATTTAAGGAATATATGTTTTTATACCGGGCGTGAATTTATATTTATACTTAAATTTGCATTCAAATGTGTGCCGATTAAAGTTAAAAGAATTAAGTTCTACATCATTTGTTTTCAAGCGTCTTTTAATGCAATAAATTAGACATTCTTTTTACTAATTTACGCCTAATTTTATAATTACTTATAGCAAAATTATATCCTTGAGTTTTATATTCTTATTATTATTAGATATTGAACATATGTTATCTCTGAATACCGGTAATTAAATTCAATTCTAGACTCGGTAAACCTCTATTCAAGTCTCGACTGAGTAGGCTTTATTTTGATTTTCCCCAAGTGTAATATAAAATTGAACCAGATTTTCTTTTTCCAAAAAACCAGCGGCGAAAGTAGTGTTTGAACTGATAAGGCCTCTGAGCACTCGTATTTCAACCCATGTTCATACCCCGGTAAACGGGTTTGCTGCAGATGCGTTTTCATGTTTTTCCTAGTATATAAAGTGAATTTGAGCCAGCTTTGCTTTAGAAAGTCTTCCAGGAAAGCACCTTTTCCCTTGGGCAGTTGACTCAATGGGGTGCTTTGCCGTAATGCAATAAATCCAATTCTCTACAAAGGTAACCCTTCCGTTAGGCAGATGGGATTCCGTTAGACATTCCGTTTGGGTGCTCTTCCATACTCAGCTATATTCAACTAACACTACGATCTCATTTGTATTAAAAATTGTTATTCAGAATCATTTTGATCAAAAGTTTAGCCAATTATTAATTTCACTTTTATCACAATTTAGATTTCTTTTAATGTAAATTATAAACTAACTACATCAGATGAAAGCCAATTTTATGGCTTACCAGTGGTCAAACTATTAAGTGGTTGAATACTAGTAGTCCGATATGGGTTCGTTTCCAGGCGAATATCCTTGCTGGATGGGCGCTTTCATGGTTTTCCCCATGTGTGATGTGGATATGAGCCAGTTTCCTTTAGAAAGTCCTCCACTAAGCATTCCTTCTCTTAGGCAGATAGCCTTCGAGTGCTTTTTCATAATAAAACAAAGATAGCCAATCGAAAGCCATTATTTTGGGCAGTATCATGAATCTTTCTTCCTCTTGCAAAATAGGAGGTTTTCTTCGAAATCGATCTTATCTGCAGTTTGATCTTGAAGCTGTCCAGTACTTTCTACTACCAAACGCGTTCAATTGGTTGGCGTTGTACTATATTTTTTAATCTGCAAGGGGAAGATCTGTATGTGCAGATCGTTTTCGAAATGTAGCTGTTTTCTGCTTATTTAATAAAATAATATCAGAAAGGACAGCTGCTGGAAAATGGGATATAGTCAGGGATTAATTGTATTTCGGGTTTTACGAGCTTTCTCTGATGTAGCAGTCGATTAATGGCTACAAACTCGAAAGAATGCTAGTTTGTCACGGGCTTTATAACCGTTGAGTACGCGTGCTATCCAAATAAGATTTTCGTTGTTTTCTCATATTTAATATCAAGTCGAGACGATTTCGGTAAAAAAATTTTCCACGAAGATAAGCATATAAGAATCGTTTCATAAGCAGATAGCTTGGGATGCTGTGCTATAATTAATTAATCTAAATTTTAGATACAGCCAAAAGTCGCATTTTTTCTCCTCTCGCTGCATAAATAAATCCCATTTCTAAACCAAAAATTTTTTCTTTAGAAAATATCGATGTCTAGCCTTCCCTAAAACATCCTATACGTTTGCCAGAGAAGATTCATGAGAAAAGGAGCATAATATACTTTTAACTGTTTGTCAATGTCTAAAAATTATACTTAAGCAATTATTTCTAAATTCGGTTTATGGTATGAGATAAAAGGCAGATTTTTCATTCCAGAAGCCATATAAAAGGCTACAACTAATTCCTGCAATTCATTAATTTTTCGAGGCCTATTTATGGTCGAATAAACAAGACCGCCAAACTCTGATTGTTGGACGCTAGTTCAAATCGCAATTAACGGGCTGAGTGCATGAGAATTTTCGTGATTTTCTTCATGTGTAACACAAATCCATAGTTATTTTCTTTTAGAAAGTCTTCCGTGAAGACATTCCATGGTTAAGCAAGTTGCACTCATGAATTTTGCTTTAATCATTTAAAAGAAACCTATTTTAAGAACTTTTACTCTGTACTCTGCGAAAAAAATGGGACAGTTCTATATTTCCCGTTCTACTGAGTCGATTGACAAAATTCAACTTGTGTTTTTCATGTCTCGAAAACGCGACTGAGAACATGTATTAGATTTACATATAGTATTGTTCTAATATAGGTATTTTGACACAAAATCGGACTTTTTCTGAAATGGCATGCCAATGAATTTTCAAATTTCAATTCTACGATTCAAATTATGCCTAAATATTAACTTTTGTAAAATTTGGTGCGAAATTTAACGAGAAATTCAAAAATTTATCTTGGCGCATTTTTCTTTTCCAAGAATCATTCACTTGGCGAACTTCTTAATATATGGCAACCTATTTTCCTTTCCTTTTTTACATTGTGCTTGAGCGGAAAAAAGGTCACACCATTCCTACTTTCAAATAATTTTAACAAAGTGCTTCAACCACATTTGATGCTATTACCGCTTGTAACAAACAAGCCAAATTTCAAAATACGCCTATATGTAAATTCACGTATATCTTAGAAAATTTTGAATAACAACTTTAATTTTTTTGCAGATGTGCCTAGAAATACATCTATCTACTTTAAGATGATGGTAAAAATTTTGTAGGTTATAATTCAAAATTTGTTTCTAAAGATTTATAAAAATTATTTAAAATATAAATTTAAAAATTAAATCGTAAAAAATGGGTGAATTTTATTTGGAATGAACCTAAATTTCGACATGTGAAAGGAAGAATCAAATAAGTTTGATAAAAAAGAGAGATTAATAAATGTATACGAAATTCAATTGTCATTGAGGAGCTAGAATTCTGAGAGCTAATTTTTTAAAAAGTACGCGTGCGATTTTTACAAAACTTAGCAGTTTGGCACAATTTGAGGCGTAAAATCGAAATATGGAAAAAAAATCGGTCTGTCACTTCAGAAAAAGTACGACTTTGGGTCAAAATACCTAAATTAGAACAATGTTACATATAAATCTAATACATATCCTAAGTCGCGCTTTCGAGATATGAAAAACGCAAGTTGAATTTTGTCAATCGGCCCAGTAAAACGGGAGATATAGAAATGTCCTCCCCCTTTTTTTTTTCGCTATGTATATCTGAAAGGTTTCTCAGATGCACGTAGTTCTGAATCTTCAAATAAAGTATGTTAAATCCCTTTGATTCAAATCTTATTGGATTATATCCTCTCTCTCTGCTCTTGTTCAGCCTTTCTCCCACTCTATTTCAGAGTTATTTAATAAATAAAAATTTGCCATTACCTGAATTTCTTTTATTTGTTGTACATTTTGTAATCTCTCCCTGTAACTTATAATCGCATCTAATTTAAGTTAGTTGTTAACAAACAATTTTTTTAAAAAAATCAGAAGTGAATGTTCAGGAGTGCTCATTTAGTGGAATGAAGCCTCCCAGTTCCTAAGTTCTTTATGATTTACCTTAGGCTAATAATTACCACTCAGCATATTATATTGCATATTTACAACGGCACACCTAGCGTGGCGTTGTAAATATGCGTGATTGGGTTTGGGATGCGTATGATGCGATTGGGTAATAGGGCAAATGGACTTCTAGTTTACCACATTATTATCCATGTCACATTAAGAAACACTGGTAGCTAGACTACGTTTCTCTTAGCTTTTATTTTCTTTATCTGATTTAGGCTCATAGCTTTTAATATAGTTAGGTGGTTTTTTTTTTTTTTTTTTTTTTCAAGCTGGCTTTCAAATGCTACGATAAAATTATTCTTATTCTCAAAAGAAAATTACCCTTTTTCTATTTGCTTTTACTTTCGCACCTAAGCGTGATTTTTGTCCTGCGGACAAAAGAGTGGGCAAGGCATATGTACCGATTAAAGCTGTTTAGTGGGGCTGTGAGATCAGTTTTTTTTTGTTCATGGATGACAATGATCAACTACGCCAAAGTTGCTATGATGACTAAATGCTTTCAAGTTGAGGATATTGCTAGTCTCCACTAAGAGGTTTATCATACTTTTCAGTATTATTCAGTAGATCTGCCTCTTAAAAGCTTAGAACAACGATATTCAAACACAAAACTTAATTAACGCTTTACTCAACAATATAGGAAACATGCGGTGAAGCATGCGGAATTCACACGCCACATAACTTCGAGAAAAGAATTGTTGAAATTTACTGTTTTTTAATTTTGATCACAGTTTGACATCAGAAGCAATAGTTTAGCATTTTTACAACAAAGTTGTGGAAAAAGTAATGCGTCTTTATAAATGCGTGCATAATTTCTACATGTAAACAAAAGTTGAGTCTGATTTACGATAATTATTCTTTCACTTTGAGTACCGGGGTTACAAATGAGCCTTTTTTTTTTTTTAACTACCTATGTTTTGCTTATCCTTGATGTATATGTATGTAGTTGACTGATTTAATAACTTCCCCTCTTTTTTTTTATGTTATTTTTCTCTTCTCATAAGACTTAGTGCGCTACATACTATTTTACTTATTGGACTGTTTCTACTCTTTTATTTAAAAGAAACTGCAGACTGTAAATTTTTGTTTTTTTAATTATCACTTTCTTTGTATTATTTAAGTTTATAATTCAATAAAACAATGCTTCTAATAAAATACGTCTAATACAAAATGCTGCTGAGCGTAATGGAGGCAAAGTAAAATTAACTAAATGCGCATATTATAGTTGCATTTTTATATTAACAGTTATATAATTT